TTCATTGGGCCGGCAAGGTGGGGGCAGGGGGTGGGGGTGGGGGGTGGGGGTGGGAGTGGTAGGGGAGCTGAAGTGATCCCCACATTAGAGGCAGTAAATATTTTTGATTTTTTGTAATTTGAGTGTACTCCACTTGGGTGGCGATCCAGTTCACTGCCAATCAATCACTCACACAAGTGTATTTTGACTTCAAGCATTGCCAATGTTTACAAACTTTATAGGTAGGACAGATAAGCCTAGCGTCAATTATTACAGTATTTGCCTTCGAATGGAACATTTTCAAAGTTATTCAAGCTTCAAGTTACCAGCCCTTTTGCATATAAATCCCAAATGCTCAAATGCTAAATTATAACATTTTCTGCAATGACCTGTTTAATGCCATTTTATTTTTTTCGTATTTTTTACGCAGGGACCAATAAATGCAATTTCTTGCCGACACAAACCTCCTGAAAGCAGGATTTTCAACGCATTTCAGTATGACCCAAATTAATGTGGTCGTGATTAAAAGCGAACTGAATCAAGACCACGAGCATTCTAATTATCGGTTAAAAGTACCTTGTACTGATTGGTAATCAACATTTCAATTGTAATAATTACAATAATCGATAGACCCTCTTCAGCACAACCGGTTTCTGCTTGCTTCCACCTTGCACACCGAGTATCATTCTTCCATTCAATCTCATTCCACATCAGTCCTCGTATGCACACACACACACACACTTAGTCCACCTCAGCATCCTAGTTCTCTAAGTGAATTGGAGGCCGCTCAATTCCCTCACCACGTAGGAATTTCATTCGCATTGAATGGGGAATTTTAAAGATTATTCGGTCGTAAGTACTTTTGGCTTAAACGATATGAATAAAACAATTTCAAATATTAGACTTTGTGACATGGCAGGTCTTGACTATCATCCGCATCTTCCATAGTTCCTGAGCAAATTCTTGCTTTAAGGCGAAGTATTGGCGGAATTCTAGGTGAACCCCATCAAAAATTTTCGACCATCTCTTTCTCCATCAGAAGGCAATAGAAGTGGGTCAAATTTTAAAGCAAAAATTTTATGAAATTTCTAATGCCACTATGACTGCGATTAATATTTCTCTGTGGGAGACATGCCAAGCTTCTGGGCGATGTTGATAATAGAAACTGAAAGCTTCGTGAAGGTAGTGTTGTTACAAAGAGACTTTAACGGTAAACTATTTTAAACGTAACTTACCAAAGCGGACTCTGAAAATGAAATGGAGCTTCGATTCTTCTTTCTTAATACCAAAGCACCTGTTTTGCCAAGGAATTGTCTCAACAAATTCTCATCAGTTAATGATGTCTACTAACATGTATTTATTTCAAAATCATAAAATTTGAGTAGCCATTCTATGTTTTATCTATTTAAATCAGATGGCATGCATTTTGATACTTCTCATTAGCCCTTTAGTTGACTTCGGGCTTCACAGAAGGGAGGAAATCAAGGTGAGAAAAATTCGAGAGGGGCAACAGAAGAGTGATTCACAGATGTAGAGAAGGCAGACAGACACAAAGACAAAGAAAAGGTAAGTTGAACACTATAGAAGTCGTGGAATATGACATACAATGGGGTGATGGTAGTCTGAAATGAGAAGTCAGCTACCGGTTTATAGACTTTTTTGTCGTTTGAGTATACTTTGCCCAGGATGAATCACGCAGAGGTACGTCCATCGCGCACCCCACCATTCATCATCTTCATCGTCTTATCAAGAATTCCTCCGCTTCCATCATCCAAATTGATAAACTTAGGATAAAGCGAGCGAAAAATATTTATTGGATTTATTTACCCGACAGCATAAGCAAAAAAGCCCATAATTTTCAGTAAAACTGTATCTCACAATGTAAAGGATGGGTTGATGCAGATCTGAAGCTTTAGAATTATATTCCACTTTCCGCTAATGGAATTTTATCGCCTGGCAATTTGATTCTAATTAAACAAAATGTGGTTCGCTCTTTTTTTCTTACTTTCATTAAACCGCTTACCTTATTATTATTATTATCCGCAGTACTACAACACAAAATGCGAAACCTCTGATTGGGTGAAGCCACCGAAGTAGGGTACAGACGACGTCAAACTCCTGAGGAAACTTTCTTCAAGTCTCATTGCTCGATTTGGGTGGATTTAAATATTTTCGAACATTTAGTTCCCTTTCTAACATTCAAAATTCTTAATGTTCCTCCGGTTTATTGACCGCACACTTGTCTGCGGCGTCTAGTATTTAACTATGGGATTCGCTAAATTGAATAGAATGGTCTTACCAGTTTCAAATTGTTAAAGCTGAAAGAGATGCAAGTTCTGCGTTCTCTAGAGAAGCAACCTGAAGTATAATTTTCCATCATGTCCCAAATTTTGCTTTCAGTGGTAGATAATTTTTTTCCTTTTTAAAGGTCAAATTTGTGTCCAGTATATTGATGTGTTCATTAAATTATGGAATATGCGTGCTTGACAAGGTCAAATTTTAGTTAGGTTCGAAATCACTCGTTATAGATCACACTGAATGTTAAATGGAGAGGAAGCAACATGTGCTCAAACATTAAGGCCAAATCTTTCATAAATTTCCTGGCTATTTTGACAATTCCTTAGTATGATGAAAAATGCAACTTTTCCTAGAAAAATTAATTTATATAAAATGACTAAAAGATTTATTCGAAGTGACCTTAGATCCACCCACACACATCATAACAGCATAAATTTTATATACCTGATGAAGATGTGCGTTGAACGAGCTGCCTCGGGAAACGCCTCTTATAAAAATGATTGTAATTTCACCTGAAAGTGCAGATTTTTATTTGAAAAGATTTTTCGGTCTTATTCATGAGCAAGGATCTTCCTGGTCGCTATTTAATGGCTAGTATAGGCCTTTCCACGCACTTTTTTTATAATCAAGTGAGACCGTTTTAGGAATCAAACTATCCTCTATTTTGAAAAAAACGGTCACTTCAATTTACGCGAACAGGTATGGGAGTGCGACGTTAGGATTTAAGTAAAAATTTTGATCTCCACTACATGCCACGCCTTCCATGTGATAAATAATATGAGCAATCTGAAATCGTTCTCAGGTTTCCATAAAAAATAAGGAATACCATTAGATTCCAATAACTTTATATCTTAACTGGGATATCTATTTCTAATCTTAAAATCTTATTTACCTTCGTTTGTTAAAATTATTAAAGTTGCAGGATTTTTACACAACCTCAATAGAACTCCATAATTTTATATAATTGAAGGGGACAATTTTACTCTTCCAATGTGACAAGCTGTCAACTTTGTCCTCCGTGTTGGCCCCTCCGTCTGCATTCAAAAAAACCAACATCATGAATCCTTTTTTCAGTGCAAGCGGGTCTCGTTACGCTTACAATTTTGCCCCTCAAGATTAAAAAGATGAAATTATGAATAAGATTGCCTAAAGCAATTTTTCCCAAGATCTGTGCTGGCCTGAATTCGAACCATGAATTTCTGTCGGGTTTCAAGAATCAAACGAATAAAGCGACATTTTGGATTTGTGAATGAGTGATTCAGTGACATTTTCTGACGTCTGTGCCAGCACGAGTACCGCCCCAGGTCAAATGTCAGAGGAGGGGGGGTGGGGGGTGGGGGGAGAAAGAGAGGTGGCAGCAGGACCGATCGATTTTCGTTCTCATACAAACTCACTTGAGTGAGTGGCAGCCAAGGTGGTGGTGGTGGTGGTGGTGCGTGCGTGCGTGCGTGCCTGCAGTTGGGTGCGCGAAGGTGAGCGCAACGCGTATCGTTTGGCACAAGACAGGAGCCTGTGCGCGCCTGCACTTAAGAGCTGTGCACAACGCAGCTCTGCTCACCTCGGCTCACATTCGTCATTACATTGTACTGCATCTTGCATGTGCATAAGTGAAAAAAGAAGAAGCATCATGCCCTCGTGGATATACTCGGCTTTCTGCTAGCCTTTCTCCTTCTTCTTCACCTCCTCCTCCTCCGCCTCCACCTCTAACTCTCCAAAACGAATTCATATTAAATTCTCAAACCTCCTTGTAAGTTGTTCTCTCCCAGTTGGCATATTTCGCCTTCTCATACTTTCACGTTCATTTCATTCACTTTCGTGTACTTTTAATTTTGCTTTCTCTAGAAGTGGTCTTTGTTGCTCAGAAACCGATTCCGGAACTTTAAATTGCATGCAAAAGTAACATGGGGCCGCTTTTATAGTCATACGACCTTGAATACTAGTCCATCAATTTACTTCACCAAAACGCATTTTTTAAAATAGCTGAGACTATATGTGTCTACCTTGTTTCAATCGAAATCAAAATTTCGCGGTAAAAATGGAGATAGCCTTCTAAGATATTTGTACACTCTTTATTTCGAAGTTAAATAATCCTAAAAGATTAAAATTCGACAATTTCCTACCTAAATTCAATCCTATTTACTTTCCACATCAATGAGTCCTCTCAGGTGAATCATTTAGTGTTAAGCGCAAAAAAAATAATTTCATATTTCAGCTCTAACTTTAATACTACCTATTAGCAGTATAATAAAAATTTGACTTAGAAGTTTTAGGGCAAAAGAGAATTCAAATTTAATATATTCTCGTGCAAAAATTAATCAAATGAAATTGCTAAGTTCAAAGTTATTCTCTGCGAACGCATCTCAATCTAATCCCACAAAAAATGTGTTTATGCCATTATGTCTCGTGAGGAGGATTGAGACAATTCAATCGACATGCGTTTCAAGACAACTACTGCGCAAATCAGTAATTAATATCACCTTCGCTTCGTGTGTGTGTAATAAGTCTTCAACATGGTCTTAAAAGGAAATACATTTATGAAAAAAAGCCTGAAAGAGATCTTACTTTTACTGTTCCTTTTTGTATTTTAGACCAGCAAATCATCCATTAACAGATGAAAATCGATCTTAAATTTAGTATTTCCACATATTTTCCTCATCAAATACCCCCTCCCCCAGAAACCAGTCCAGTGCCTTCTGCGAAAAGGCCTCCGGACCCCAACCGAACCTCCCGGACTCTCTCAACACCACTTCTACCTCTGGAATGGAGTCATCTGGACCTACTGATCGATCAGCGCTTTTCCAAATCTTCCCAGCGCCGTCGAAGGTACCGACGTCGATTTTTCGGTCCCTCCTCCCACACCTGGGTCCTGGTCATGTCTACTCTTCTCTCATGTCTCCTCCTTCTCCTTCCTAGTCTCCTGCCAATGGCAAACTCTGCTCCTTCGCGTACCCCTCCTCCTCCTCCTCCTCCTCTGTCCCCTCTTTCCCAAGATTTAAATTTCTCCGACTCCACCTTCTCCTCCCAAGACGACTCCCTGTGGCTAAGTGGCTTTTCCGATGCTGAATTATCAGGGGATTTGATTAATCCCCTTCCAAAAGATGCTGAACTTATTCAGAAAAAGGAATTACCTCAATATGAGGAACAGGAATTCTTACTTGATTTCGAAACCGTGGATTATCAGAAAGAAACTGCAATTGTTGACCATAATTCTCAGAAGCCCGATTATGAAGAAAGTATTCAAGGTACGTCATAAAATTATTAAATGTGAATTTTCTAAAAAAGGTTTTGTACACGAATGCTTCATTTTTCATCTGCATTCAAGTTCATCCTTTAGTGTTGTAAATCATATTCACCGTGCTCACTTATTGATTTTTTCAAGTTACTCAACGCAATAGAATATTTCACTGTAGTGACTAAGAGGTGACAATCAAGTGGTCAAATTCACGAATTAGAGAGGGGGCCAGTACGGCCCATCTCTCTCCCCCTACCTCAAAGTGCCAACATCAAATCTGTGCTCGCAGCCATAGGAACCCAGCTTGTTAAAACAAGCCAAGTTAATGTCTCTGCACCGATTTAAACATGTTTGTTTTTTGATAAAAACGAGTGTCACTCAGCAATGTCGCCTTACTCATTTCTTTTTCCATGAATTGTGCTTAAATCGGAATTGGGATTTTCGTTAATTTTAAAATAAATTACTCAGTTTAATGCATTGCAGTAATGGTGGTACGGATTTCTAAGCATTTCATCAATTTACAATGGGGAAAAATACATTTTTTCGTCCTAATAAAAATGAAAACATTCATACAAGTGACATGTGTACTGGCTTAAAATTTGATAATGAAAATGCAAAATTTTTGTTTCGAAAAATGTGCTTTTATCAAGTGACCTGAGTGGTGTGATATTGATTTGAAGTTGAGTTTGCCAAAGCCTGTGTGAAAGCAGAGCTTTTTGAGGGCCAGTGGTAGCTAATGTGCTTCTTTTCAATCAAGTACGCACACCTCGATTAATAGTATTCACATGCCATGTGATGACGGTATCACGCATCTCTCGCTCGCTTTTTCTGGTAGATCTGGTTGCAGCCGGAATCGCTCAAACCTTTGATGACTTCAGTCACTCGAATTATCGGAAACTGCTCTTTCTTCCTGAATCAAAAAGCCTCTACGCCGTGGCAGATGCGTAAGTTCTGCTTCCCACCCTCTTCTCACCATCCCCTCCCCGCCCTCCCTCACACCCCAACACTAGTCATTTATTCCTCCTCCCTATCATTATTTAGAGCGACTCTTCTAAAACTGGATGGCCAATCCCTCAAACTCAGCTCTTCTCACGCGGTCCCACATTTTCGTCAAGGTATTCGTAACTGTGATGAATCGGTAAGGACGCGCATTCTTTCTCAAGTAAACACCCAAAGGTCTCAATTTTTTGACTCCTGTCCTCACTTGTAGAAAGGCTGCAGAGAACGCGTTGACATTACAGTATTGACAAGAACGCCTCAGTTCCCTCTTGCTCTATTCTGCAGCTCTCACTACGAAGAACGTTCAAGAGGAATTATTCGGGAAATCGCCTCTGCCTGTGTTGTTCCCAATGTAAGTTTCGTGTCTTTCACACCTAACACTGTGTGTCTTGACAACTTTATAACCCTTCGTGCTATGCACGGACCTTCTTAGCCACGAATCACGCCGAAATGCAGTCGTGAATGGCGCGGACACTCCATTACCCCTCGATTGGTTCAAGAAGGATCCACTTTTGCTTTTCTCCAGTCCGTTTTATTGTGTCATTTAGACTGATTCACAATTAATAGAATTTGTGACGAAATAAGTGCAACTAACTTTTGCCATGTAAGATTTATTTTGAGGGCAAATTTGACATTTTCTTGTTTTAGAAATATATTTCTACTAGTGAATCAATTGTGTCAGTTCTTATAGAGATATAACATTAAGTTGAATTTCATCTATATCATATGAGCTCTAATTTTTTAAATTCTTCTCCACTCCCATGTTAAACTAAGTTAATCAGTTTTTTCTGTGATATTTCAGCGAATTTTTCGCAAACTAGTTATTTTTAAGTGTACTTAATGTGTATGATCAAATTGATTTTCAAAATCGTTGCTCATTTAATTGAAATCCAATTAATCCCAGCTAAATTGGTTTCTAATATGTATAAAAATGACTCCCAGTAATTATTCCTGAGCTTGGTAACATCCTTTCTGCTTCATAATGTTCCACCAAAAACCAAACGTTAAAACCACCAATGAACTTGATGCAAAACGAAAGGACTCCGCTTCTAGCTCAGTCTCCAAGAAATGCCAATTCCTCAAGCGACCACTAATTTGATGTACTCCTGTTTCCTTTCCAAACTCAATCGCACTTCGAGGAAAGTACATTTTTGGGAATCTATTGTTATTTCAAGTACACACTTGTCTCAAAGCAACTTGCGTCAATAAAACTGGCATTTCTTTAACTTGGGAAGATGACTTAAACTTGCTCTTGTAACGTCTCAATGGGCGCTCCGTGGGAACAAATGAGCCATTGACATGTAAAGTTCTCTTTTCCAGCCTGCAGATATAACAGAATCCCTAATGCAGTGGGACAATAAGTACTACTCCTCGGCTGATGCACACAGGCCCCCCGTTGTGCTGTCTCCTAGAGAGATTGGCCCCGAATACGCCGCCGTTGGCTCCACTAACGTTGAGCCTTTCATCTACGTTGCTGGGGTCTCCGCAGACTCCCTCCGCATATCGCGTCTTCAGATGCCCGATTGGAGCCGCTTTGATATCAAATGGGATGGTGTCCTCTTCACACCGAAAAGCAACTTCCTCTTCAATGGTAATCTCTCACTCTTACACACACACACACTCTCTCTCTCTTTATTAAGTATATGCTCAGATATTGCTGTTTCAACAACTTCTAGAACCGGCAACTATAGTGATGAGCTTTGAGACAACGAGAGCAGTGTATTTCCTCCTTCGGGAGGCTTCCAAATCGAGAAGCGGTAATAGACAGATCATTTCGCGAGTCATCCGCGTGTGCCGAGGAGATCGGGGTGGTGTGACGGGCATTGGTGAGAGATACTTTGGCACGATGGCAAAAGCTGATTTGATTTGTCAAACAGAATCCACAACCAGCCCAGCCAATGGAGAGCGTGCGCACTTCATTTTCGATTTCGTCCAATCAGCTCACTGGGACTCTAATGCTGAAAGACTCTACACCGTCTTCTCAACTGGAGAGTGAGTTCTCCTTTTAATCTGCTGGCTCTAAGCGTAATTTATTTCATTTAAATTTTATTTTCAGTAAATGCATAATAGTTCAGGACCTAATTTTAAAGGGTATTTGTTTTCATTCATTGTGTTTGTGTGTAGTGGTTCAAAGAGCCGCTTTTGTTTACTTTGAGTCCAAGTCAAATATTGCATTAGAATTTAAGTTGCGACTGTCACACTGTAAAAATAGTGAAAAGTGGAGGTGATTGCAAATCAAATAGCGCCCTTTCAACAAAATAAGGACATTTGAAGTTTTTGTAAAGTAAATTTGAAATATTTTCATTCATGGAAGGTAGTGATAGTGATGATGATGGAAAATCTCTTCCTGAGAAATCAAATTAACATATGCACAATTTCAAATTTAAAGCTTGCAAGTTTGTGTGAAACCTCTTTGTCTGGGTAGAAAACCAATCCACGTTTCAGTCGGTTTTGCATCAAAGCAATTCCTCGTGATTTACATCGATTTTACAAGATCGGCGGTGCGATTGAGGCCACGGAATGAGGCAGCGAATGCTATTAAGTGCTTTCACCGCTTCATTTATTTCTACCGCCTTATTGGTCACGCTTTAACCGCCAAAAAACACCCCAACTTCAGTACTTAAGTTCATCTTACAGAAACAATCGAATTCATTCGCTTAACCCAAGCACCTTTTGTCATTTGTCTTGTTTAGCTCCACCAAAACCAAAAGTCTGATTGATTTGGTTTCTAGTCCATCTTCACAAACATTTAAAAAGTATCAAATCGCAATTTTAATTTAATTTAATTTAATGTTTTCTTCAGAGCTGGGCCTCGTGGCAGCGCAATTTGCATCTACGACCTGCAGAGCATTGAGAAGGCGTTTCAGGGTCCCATCTCGAACTCGAACGGCATTCTGAGATCGAATTCGAATATGCACAAGTTCGACTCCCCCCGACCCAACCCCTTTCCCAATGTCGTAAGTCTAGTTCAACCACTCTCGATTCAAATGGGCGCCAATTTGATAGGAATTTGAGACAAATTTACCAGTTGACATCAGAGACTCGAATTCAGTGCTCTCCATTTAACTTGAGCTATTTCTTAATATCAATTTGTAGTTGACTTTTAAATGTATATTTTTAATCAAGCGGATAAAATCAATCAAGCGCCATAGGAGAGATTGCATTCTTGATACTTGCTTTGTCTTAGTGAATGCGATTTTAGTGTGATTGAGCTGGAATGTTGCTTTCTGATCTAAGACCTCATAAATAAATATTAAATTTTTATCTCTTACTCGACTGTCCAAGTAAAATTTCCCAAAAGAGTTGCTACTAATTAGCGCATTATTTGAACCGCTCAGTAATTTTCTGACTAGTAGCATGCGATTAAAATGAAACGCGCTTGTCGTGGTCTTTGAGGCTTGCTAACCCAATTCAATGAGGCTGTCATTTTGTTTTTAAATGAGTTAATGTTTGTTTATCTTTTATCTTAGCCGAATAAGCATTTTAATCTCTTGACTGACTGTAATAAATTAAGCGTAGTTTCGATAATTTCGCTAAGGCAAGGGCCTCAGCTATTTTTATATTTAAAAGACGATCCTTTCGAATTTCATTTTTTAAATAGTGCATTCATACTCAAAGACTGCTTTTCATTACAGGCTTATTGATTAGCCAATTGGATTACGGCATTTTTCGCGTAATTTATGAAATTTTTGAAGTCCCTCGTCTTAAGGTCATTGTTCCCACATGACCCTCGTCTCGAGTAGACAAACCCAAGGAAGCAGTCTAATGCATTTTTGTTTTGCTTTTTTAACAGTGCGAGCGCCTTGCTGCTGGCAATCTCACCTTGAAGGAGCTGACTCTAGTCCGAATGGGTACGAACTTTTACTATCGTTTTGAACCCATCACCCCACTCTTTGGTCACGCCGTCGTCATGTCTCCAAGCACTAAGTGGAATGAAGTAATTGGCTATCAACTCCCTCCAGTTACTTCTTCAAACTACTCAACCTCAGTGTTGTGGATTTCTTCCGACACCCACCTCACTCAATTTGCCCTACACGAATCTCACTACAGGGACGAAGAAGTCGAGATCTCTTTCCTCCTGAGCACGTGCGAAGTTAGACGCCTGCGTATCGGCAGTGGCGATGATGCAAATGAGAGCATTCTCCTGAAGCTTCGTGAAGGACCTTCCTTTGAATGGCTGCCGCACACAAATGAGAAGAATAAGCCGGCGAAGGAAAGGATTCTGCGCTTCCTCGTCGAGGCATGCTTAGAATTGATTGTACGATTTGCAATTCCTAGTCCGTTCGTAACTTATAATATCTCTCTGCAGGGTGAATTCGTCTATCTTGGAACCACACACTCGATATTCCGCTTTCAAACCGACTCCTGTGCCTCCTATACTAACGAGAAGACCTGTACTACATCAGGGGATCCGCATTGTGGATGGAGCAGTCAGAAATTCAGTTGTATCAGTCGGTTGAGTACGTTGAAGTCCGCTGGTGGTCTTGCTCTGGCTGTCAATGAAAATTCACCTCCAAAATGCAAGACTCCAAATCGAACCTCATTTAGAAAGCAGGACACCGGGTGGTCCCCATGGCACCCATGTTCTTTAACCAAGGACCTACATCCCAAACCACTGGAAATGTCTCCGGAATTGCAACGATCGTGCCTCTGTCGAATTTGCCTTAGCGACACACTGTGCAATTTCGGGGAACAGCAAGTGTCCCAGTGCAAATGTATGTAATCAACCACTTTTTCCACATTCTTGCTGATTTGAATATGAATTGTTACTTCTCAATGCGCTTCTGTTTTAGTTGCTGGAGTATGGTCTCCATGGTCAAGTTGGTCCCGCTGTGAGGACAAATTGCGCTTTCGAACTCGAACTTGCTTCAACCCCCTCTTGGGCACTGCCATCCCCTCCTCTGAATGCATTGGAGATGATCGAGAAGAGACTCTCTGTCTCGTGCGTCCTTTCATTCCTGAAGGTATTTTGCCTAAACAAAAATTAACATCTGGCTAATTATTTGTTAATCCATTGCTTTTTATTTCAAGTCATTGTAGTAATTGGTCGAAAATGATTGACTTTCATTCAAAAATTTAAAGTCGACCCAAAAAATCAGGCAATCTCTCTGACTTGAACGTGTGCGCCCTTTTGCGCTCTGCTCTGCTTCTTCTGAAGTGGCTATTTCCAAGCTAATCAATTGTTGACACTTGTCAAGCAAAATGCATTCTGCTTTTTAAAAAAATGAAGAATATTAACAAATAGGGGGACGTGTCATCTTAATTAGGCAAGGACCACTCGAATAGGCGCGCATACGTAGACTTTTGAGCACTTGTGCAGATTATGGAAGGTCGCAAATCTGTAGCGCCAAGGAAAGAATAGGTGCGAATTGAAGGAAGCAACATGTGCAACTACTGAAAATGGGTGCCGGTACAGTTATCGAAAATTCAAGTCACTAAAAAAGAAAAAAACAGCTTGAAACAGCAATGATAAAATTGTGAAATTAATTAGTAAAAATAATTATGGGTTCGAAATTCCTTGAAATGAAAGGGGTAAACACTTGACCTCCTTTCCATTCTTGTCATTCTTCAACTGTCTTTTGGACTCTAGGATGTTGCCATCCAAGAATGTGATTCCATGATTAGAGGTCTGGGTCCTGGATGCATCATATTAAAATAAAAGAAGCATAATCAGTGAAAAAAATTGATATCAAAAGTCATAAGTTAAATTAAAATACTGAAATGATTTATTGGCCACCTTAATATAACTAATTCAAGTAGGAATGAACTGTAAATGAATTTTAGACCCACATTATAGTTACAAATTTCGTATACAGATTGAAAATTTTGTAGAGCATTCAAAAAAATTATTCCGACAACTTGATGCAATACAACACAAGTTTGAAACCTTCAACAAGCAATATGTAAATAAATTGAAATGAATTCATCATTTAATTCTTAAAAATTTCAAAAATTGCACTTTACTAGTTTGAGGATCTAGTTAACCTGGCAAATTTTCTCAAAGATCCAAAGTTTCTTTTCCTATTATTTATGACATCCTCAGAACTCACTTTAGGGAAAGCATTTTTCTTACCCATAAAAGCAGGTGATATCAGTTAACAAAAGATTAAACCGATGAAAAATTGACAATCATATGATGCCAAGAGGATATTCAATCTTCAATCAATTTTAAAATGCAAGTAGCAGTTTCATTCTGCACTGTACGTGGCCTCTTGTGAGTACTCAATCTCTTGGTTTGAGGCCAAAAAACTGAATTCAAGCAACGATTGTTCTATTGAGTTGGCAACTAAGTCATTGCCGTTTTTGTTGACGGATTCACTCTATACTTTCTTTTGTTTTGTTAACGTGGCCAGAGCATCTAACCTATCTTTTTTTCTTACTCTATGGGCTTCTAGGTTAATTAGTAAACAATTTTTTTGTTTAGTTCTTTAGTTTTGTTTTTATCCCAATTTAAAAATGAAAGAACAGGACGTGCACTTCCGACACATTTTATTGTATTACTTCCGAAAAGGCAAGAACGCATCGCAAGCACAAAAGAAGTTATGTGCCGTATATGGAGATGAAGCCTTAAAAGAAAGGCAGTGTCGAAATTGGCTTGAAAGATTTCGTTGCGGTGATTTTTCACTGAAAAATTCACAACGATCTGGCCGCCCTGTCGAAGTGGATGAAACCCATATCAAGGCCATTATCGATTCAAATCGTCACAGCACAACACGAGATATTGCAGAGAAGCTACTCAATGTGTCGCATACATGCATTGAAAAAAAATTAAAAACCCTTGGTTATGTCAAGAAACTTGATTTATGGATCCCTCACCAGTTAAAGGAAATTCATTTGACGCAACGGATTAGCATCTGTGATTCGCCGCTACTGAAACGCAATGAGAATGAGAATGATCCATTTCTGAAGAACCTAGTTACTGGCGACGAAAAGTGGATAGTTTATAACAATGTCACTCGCAAGAGATCATAGGTGAAGCAAGATTAACCAGCCCAAACAGCATCAAAAGCAGAGATTCACCAAAAAAAGATTATGCTGTCAGTCTGGTGGGGGGATCACAAAGGAATTTTGTATTTTGAACTCATGCCGCAGAACCAAACGATAAATTCAAATGTGTATGTTGAAGAACTCGAAAAACTGAAGGATGCAATTGAAGATAAGCGGCCGGCATTATCAAATCGGAAGGGCGTTGTTTTCCATCATGATAACGCAAGGCCCCACACATCTTTGGTTACTCGGCAAAAATTATTCCAACTGGGTTGGGATGTTTTGTCACACCCACCATATAGCCCTGACCTTGCGCCTTCGGATTACCATTTGTTTCGTTCCATGCAAAACTCTTTAAATGGTAAAATTGTTAACAACGCGGATGATGTCGGATCACACCTAATTCAGTTTTTTAATAGCAAAGACCAGACATTTTACGAAGGGGGAATTTTAACTCTGCCAGAACGATGGAAAAAGGTCATCGACAAGAAGGGCCAATATCTAATTGAATAAAGTTATATTTTTAAACAAAAATTCCGAATTTGCCTTCTTATTTGAAATCGCAATGACTTAGTTGCCAACCTAATAAATTGGGAGGCGCAAATAAGACAAATCCCGATCTTCTCCAAACTCCAAATTGATTGATGCTCATTAATTTGTCAGACTTATAATACCCACGATCTTGATGAGCGGTGCTTGTTGACCCTCCTACCAGTGCTTGAGGTTACGAACATGAAGGATACTATGGCCAATAAAATTTAAAACTATCTCTGAGAGAGCACATGTTCTTCGCTTTGGCGACAGTGCGCTTTGCCTTGTTGGCCCTCGTGACAACCATTTACTTCTCCATCTCGTGCATCATGACTCTCGTAAATGCCAATAGAATAAATAAATTTACACAATTTTTTTTACTTTTAGAGGTGGGATTTAAGGCGATGAGAGCCGAGCAGGTGGCGCTAAAGGACGGCTCTGGCCAGAACATTATGCTAGACAAGAATAACTTGGTCGGAATGTTAGTCGGAATCGTCTTGGGAGTAGTCTTCACTCTCCTCTTAGTCTTCCTTGTTGCAAGATTCTGCCGGCCTCCAAGAAGAAGAAAGCACCCCGGGAGGCTGAGATTTCACGACATATCTAGAAGTATAAGTAATATGCAACTTGAACGTCAAATAAGACACTCATTGCTGCATGATCCCACTGTATATGCGAATCCCAGTCCAATCGATCAATCGATGCACTCAAATTCATCCCTTAGATACAACTTCCTACACCAATCACCACCCATGAATGTGGAAAGAAGTCCTCGTTCAGAAGAGCCCTTAACTACAACTCCCTTTTACGATCGACTTTCTGAAAGCACAAGTAAATAAACCTATCACCAGGTGAAGCGATAACGCAGCTAATCACCAAAGGAACGCAATCAAATTACGCACATCCCCCTTATCCCTTCTCTATGCCCTTCACACGCACACAACTCCCTCCCTCCCTCCCCCCACCCCCCCC